CCCCCCCCCCCCCCCCCCCCATATTGACAGACAATTTTATATTGTACCTCCTTTGTACTGTGTTAGCGACGACTGATACCCCTCCATTTCCCCTGAAAACCATGCGATCCCCCAAATAGCCTCCGAACCCCCTCCCAGGCGTTAAAGTGTCAAATAATGCTGGTCACCCAACTCTCCGAGTCACCTGCTGACGACGGCCTTGTTGTCAAGGTTATGACTGTAACCTGCTGAACGATACATGATGTTCTGCATGAACTGAGATACGACAAAACAATACGTAACAAAGTAAAATAACTACATGTCTGAGTCGCTCAAGGGTATTTTTATTTCTATGTAAATTACGTAAGTTATTTAATTACGTCACTGAAATGACCTATTGGCGAAGTGATCAAACTGAAAGAATCTGACAAATAGTTGACAATCAGAAAAGTCTCGTCTTCTTACAAACGATCTTTTGGCTGATGGGACTTTTAAAATTCCTGACGGCATGGAATGCTAGTTCTGACGTTAAACAAGATCATGGATTTAATTTTGCTTCTTTCTCCAAAGGGTGTTTACTCAAGGAACATCAACGGAAGCCATATGATTCGCTAATAATCGTCGCTTTTTTTTTTCTTCGTTTCTTGAAATAACAGCAACTATTTGATACTAAAACTACAGTAGAATACCTTGCCGCGTTTTCGGGAAAGGGGGGGGGGGGGGGGGGGGGGGGGGGAAATAAAGCTTTTTCTTCTAAGCTTTAATCAGTAGCTGTTTCGGGATCGCACGATGATAAGTAAAACGTCCGTTTAATAGGCTTAATCAGTGGCGGAAGAACAACTGCTGTAAATGGCAAATTTTGCTAAAGCAGTCTTACTGAGAAAACTCCATATAAAAAATCGCGTAAAAGTTTACTGGAGCTCATAACAACTGGAAAAAGGATTATGACATACAATTTTAAATGTAACGAATCGCTACTGTAAACCATCTGTTGGTTAATCTCATCTTATAATCTACTAAAAAAAAAAAAACAGCAAAAAACGCATGCCAAAAACAGTATGGTGCTGACCACTGACAGTTTGGTTCCATTGCACAAGGAGCCATGGCAGAGTAGATATCACATTTGGTGACTTTTGTTGACCCATCATCTGTATAACACACAGTATTTGTTACAGGATTGCACTCCTTGGCGTTCGTACAGCCTCTATTGTAACCCGTTATATGAATTCCAGTACCTTCTCTTTCTACATAGGCTTTTCCACAACGGTCGTAACCGGACGGACAGTTCATCGCTGAATGTACCCTGTCACAGTTTTTCCAACTATCGGAAGAAAAGCACGACCAGCACTTGTTTTCACTATGAAATATGATTTAAGTATACTAAAGTGTATCATGTCTGGGACAATACTGAGTAACAAAACAAAGAAGTCAAATAAAGAGATGTCAATCAGTTTATCAACAAAATTTTTAGGTCACTGAACCGGTCATTTAATCACCAACGTTCGTGACAAGCGCGTGATTGTAGATGAAAGCGGTAATATTTAGTGTTACTTGTTCTCCTAAGTTTTGCATGATGATATGACAGTTCATTAATAACTTTAAATCCGTCATTCATATGGATAGGACGAAAACCGCTCGGCCGGGTGATATTTTTTACATGTGTTGACAGCCGATGTCTGTTTTGATGAATCAGCAAAACGATGATGCTAATATACATTGCAGAAGGTAGCAAGTTGACATGGCGGTCAATAAGAGAAGCCTTCCCGTGTCTCAGTTTTGCAATTGAAGTGTGAGGAGGGATTAGAAACACATTTTCCTCTCAATTTTAAATTTCCTCTCTCTTTTGGTAGTATCAAAATACAACTTGAGCATGTTTTTTTAGAGACTTTCGTCTTATCGATTTTTCGTTACGTTAGTGAGAGCAGATGGTTCTGATTCAGTGTAGGTGAGTAAACATAAACGCTAAACTTTACGGATGCGGTTTTGATAGTTTACGTATTCTTTTATAGGAGTATTGCTGTAAGAGTGTCGTATTTAATTGGATAATGTTCTAGAAAACTGTCAAGTTAATGAGGTATTCTTCTTTTCTTTGGAGGCAAGTCGTGAGAGATTACGCGCTCATTTGTTACTAGTAACGCAAATTACGACGATTGCCGTTGTTTTATAGACTTCCATGTATATTTCAGTATGTTAGTAATAGCATGCAGCTCTGCTCGTGGTTTGAGATAATTATCAGTATGTATTTTGTTCTGTTGTTATCACGAATATGTCAGTGATGCAGTTTTAAAAGCTGATGCCGTTGTTTGTGTTAGACATCTAATTTGTCTCAACTTTGGACAATCGGGGTGCAAAGACAGCAACGCCAAAATTCTCATTCATCTCTGTTTTGAGTGTTAGAAGTATTTTCTCTCTAACACTCTGTTGAATTTCCTTTATTTCCTGGATGAGCTCCTATTACAATTCTTACTCTCGGGGACTAGCCAGTCTTGATCTTATTCACCGCAGTTCAACTTATTCCTTTCGCCATAAGTCCACACTGTTCTACTTTGCTATATTCTCTGATTGAAAGACGCCGTGCACCAGCTTATAAAGGTGACACCAAAGATGATACTTCTAAGCTGTCAATCTTCTTACATCGCGATCGCTCTGTTTCAGCCAGCGAATCACAACAGAGTACGTACGACAGTTCCTGCATACTAAGTATGCACCTTCGAATTGTTTATGCAATCATAAAATCATCTTCTACCTTAAATTTCTTTATTTTACGGTTAAGATCGGCCAGAACGAAGACAAGATAATATGAAAATTATAATTAACCTATTGGCAGAATTGAAATCACGCTTGAAAAGATAGTTTACGAGAGTAACAACAGAGTAAACAGAAAATTCGGAGAAGAAGGGGCGTACCCATGGTACCGCCCCTAAGAAAACTACGTGCTATTCGCATAAGTTATGTAATTACAAATTCAGTGCGGAGATGAAAAAACATAAGCTATTTACAATCAGAGTCACCTTTTTAAGAAGAGGTGTTGAAGGTGTTAACCTAAAATTTAAGAAATATTCTGGAGTCGTGAATTTGACTTAGAATTTGACCAAAAAAACCAACCTGAAAGTAATCAATAGTATAAGAAGCAGGAGTTTCCGGGAATTCCTGTGTGAGGTTAACTTTTACCAGAGAGATTACAACTAGAAAATCGACATAATAAAAACATAGCTTATCACAAAATAGTACGACAAGATCTAATCACCGTAGAAACGGAGCAACTGTTTCCGTACCAAATTCACAACCGCAATAAGAAAAAGGTGAAAGAAATTGTAATCAGATGAGACCGCCAAAAGAAATAAGAAATAATCAACCTGTCTTATTATAATTTTTGTATCAAATGGCTTAAAGTAATATAATATTTCCATTTTTTTTCCCAACACCAATATAAGGAAACCCTTACAATATTTCAGATTAAATCCAGTTCTATTTTTATCACTTAGCATGAGATAGTTACCGAACCACGATTTTATCACTAACTCATGATACACGTACGTGACGCCAACCAGAGCACAGCTGCATATTTGTTGCTTTCTCATTATAAAACTAACTAAAAAGAAACACTAACTTCGACTTTGAACAACAACAAAAAAACTCAATAGTGATTTATGTGAGAAGACTTAGCATTGGTAAGGAGAACGGTCAGAATGATGAAAAATAGTGTTTTCATCTTGATGAATTCAGGCGAGTTTCTTCTTTGCTGATGTTTTGCCGTTGTGTGATTGTTATTCTACGGATTTGTGATCAGCCAGTGGAACTCATAAGTAAAATCACATTCTCCCCCGGCCGGAGTTGACGTTCTTGATGGGTCGATATTGATTGACTTCAAAGATGTAATTAGTGTCAAATCAGAAAGGTTTTTCTGAAACGTCAGATCCATATTAGTATACGAGATGTGCTATGTAGTGTGTTGTAATTCAGAACCGACTATGAGAGTAATATACAGTCGACTATAGCCTTGCGGACACCTTGTT